TCCAATTTTAGAGATCAAACAGCTAAGGAGTGTGGTAGACCTAGCTGTAAGTTGGTTCCAATGATTTCTACCCCTTAGTGTTCATGCCCTGTATAATCTCCACTTCTTGCATGTGGACAAGACCTTTGATTTGCTTCTAGCCAATAGAATGTGGATAAGGTGAAGGTATGAAGTCATTTTGAGATATACTTAAGGTCCCAAATCAGTTTCTCTGGCGTTCATCAAAAGGAAGTTTATCCTAGTGGGCCTGACCTAATTAGGTGAAAACTCCTAAAGTAAAGGTGCCTGGGCTCTCCTTGAGGTCAGAGACTCTCTTTATGGTCTTGATGAAATAAGCAGCCTTGTTGAAGAAGCCTAGATGGAAGGAATTGTGAGCAGTCTCTTGGACCTGAGCATGGTCTTCTGCTGACACTCAGCAAAAAGCCATGAACTTCAATCATACAGCCAAGAAAGTGGCATCCCAGAAGTAAACTGAAGAAGATATTTCAAGAGTAGTTATCAGTTGTATCAAATGCTTCTGGCAGAGTTCATGTGAGACAATAACAGAGAGCTGATCATTAGAATCACAACAGGGAGCAACCTGGTGGCTTTAGCAGGTAAATGAAGATAGAAATCTGCTTAAAATGGATCCAAGAGTTGGTGGGGGAAAAGAAGTGAGCTAAGGACCATAAGTAAATATCTCAATATGTTGTGCTATCATGAGAAGCAAAAAAAACATGACAGTAGCTGGAGAAGAATATGGGGTCAAGGAGGGGTACTTTCACAATAGGAGGTATTCCATCACTTTTGACTATTCACTGGAATTATTAAATAGAGAAGAAAATTATTGATTTGGGGAAGAGATAGAGAGTTTGTTGGAATTATGTCCTTAAGGAAGCAAGAGGGGGTAGGAATTAGTGCGAAAGTGGAGTTAGGCCTGGAGAGAGACAAGGACAGTTCACACATAATGGTAAGAGAGAAGCCAGATTATTTGGGTCCATATACGAAAACTAAATAAAGATAATGTAAGAATAGCAAAGTAAAGAACGATCTCATTCATAAACATGTATGAAAATATCCTAAATTAAATACTAGAAAGTTAAATTCACCACATATTTTTTAGCATTTTTGAGACGTAGTTCACATCTCATAAAATTCACCCTTTGTAAGTATACAATTCTGTGATTTTTAGTACATTCAAAAAGTTATGCAAACTTGACAACAGAGCATTTTTATCACCCCAATAAGAAGTCTCATATTATTAGCAGTCACTCCCAGCCCCTGGAAACCACTGATCTATTTTCTGTCTTTATGGATTTGCCTACTCTGGACATGTTGTATAAATGGAATCATATGATATGTGTGACCTTTGTGACTGTCTTCTCTCATTTAGCATAGTTTTTGAGGCTCATCCATGTTGTAGCAAATATCAACACTTCGTTCCTTTTTATTGCTGAATGACATTTCATTGTATGGATATGGCAAATTTTGTTTATCCATTCGTCAATTGATGAACATTTGGGTGGTTTCCACTTTGGAGTTATTATGAATAATGCTGCTATGAACATCTATGGACAAGTTTTTGTGTGGACATATGTCTATCTACCTAGGAGTAAAATTGCTGAATCATATGATAACTCTTATGTATAACTTTTTGGGGAACTGCCAAACTCTTTTACTAAGAGGCTGCACCATTTTACATTCCTGCTAGAAAAGTATGAGTGTTCATTGTTTTTTACATCCTCATCAATACATGTTATTGTCCATCATTTTCATTATAGCCATTCTAGTGGGTGTTAAATAGTAACTCATTGTGATTTTGATTTATATTTCTCTAATGACTAATTATTTTGAGGATCTTTTCAAGTGCTTATTGGCCATTCACATATCTCCTTTAGAGAAACATCTATTCAAATCTTATGCCCATTTTTAACTGGATTGCTAGCTTGTAATTGTTGATTTGTAAGAATTCTTTATGTATCCTAAATACTAATCCCTTATCAGATATATGATTCACAATATTTTCTCCCATTCTGTAGTTTATCTTAACACTTTCTTGATAATGTCCTTTAAAGCTCAGAAGTTTTTAAGTTGATGCAGTCCCTTTTTTTCTTTTTTTAGGCTTTTTGTTTTCTGTTTGTTTTGCTTTTGGTATTATATCTAAGAAACCACTGACTAATTCAAGGTCACAAGATTTATTTCCATGTTTTATTCTAGTAGTTTTATGATTTTTAGCATTCTTTTTTTTATTAACTCTTGTATATGCTGTAAGGTAGGGTTCCAATGTCATTGTTTTACATGTAGATATCCAGTTGTAACAGTAACATTTATTGAAAATACTCTTTCTTTTTGAGTAGCCTTGATGCCCTTGTCAAAAATTAATTGACCAAGTAAAAGAGTTAATTTCTACATTCTCAAGTCTATTCTGTTTATCTATATGTCTATCTTTATGTCAGTACCACACTGATTTGGTTACCATAGCTTTGTAATAAATTTTAAAATCAGAAAGTGGGCCCTCAACTTTTTTCAAGATTGGTTTGACTAGTCTGGGACCCTTAAATTTACATACAGTTTTAGGATTAGTTTGTCAATTTCTATTTTTTTAAAAGCAGCTGCAATTTTGATGGGGATTGTATTGAATTTATAGATTATTTGGGGGAGTATTTCCATCTTAATAATAAGTCTTTTAATCCATAAGCAAGAGATATATTTCCATTTATTCATATCTTTGTTAATTTATTTTAAAAGTTTCATGGCTTTCAGTGTAAAAGTATTGCACTGCTTTTGTTAACTTAATCCCTAAATGTATTGTAAATTGAATTATTTTCTTAATTTCCTTTTTAATTGTTCATTGTTGGTGTATTGATAGGCAATTGATTTTTCTCTATTGATCTTATACC